GTCCATCACAGTTCCGAACACCGGCAACATGGAACCCCATTTCAGGCCTAGATCCTGCACAAGCTTTGGTAAGTTTGGCAACTTTTCAGCGGGCTATGGAAACCCTGACCACGCTCTTTGAGGAAATAATCCCCAATACGAATGAGAGGAAACCTTCTCCAAATCGTGTGCCATCCATACAACACCGGGGAGAAGTGGAGGCGGTGTCGACACACTGCCAAAGGAACTCACTCCCAATAAGTTCTCAAAGGCCACATCACTCCCGTCAAACACCAAGGGCATCAGTGATGGACCATATGGGGGAAGGCGAATCTCGGTCCATGACAGGCTCTACTCCAGAGTTGAGAGGAGCAAGAAAGCATCTTATGCAACAGTTTCTTCCCATTGTCACGGTGCCACACGTGGGGAGATCTTAGGCATGAGGTCATCATACATCGGCAAGCCCATAAAGACCATACTCCTCGGCCTCGGGGTCAGGCCGGTCAAGATGTGGACGACCTCAGAAGGTGCCTTGATGATCTAAGGAGAGTGGTGAATGGTGGGACCAACCCCGCCCATGATGTGAGGATTCCCGAGCCATTTATCCGGTGAACATTGAGGCTTATCGAGGAAAGAGCGACCCCAGCACCACGTTTCTAGGTACATGGCCTACATGGTAATGATGGGGTACGAAGACGCGATTAGATGCTGAGGATTCTCTATGACCCTTGATGGGACATTTCGAGAATGGTATGACTCTTTACCCGATGGGAGAGTACAGAATTTCTGGGAGCTAGCCCAGACATTTATCGCGCGATTCACCAGTTCAAAGGATTCAAAGAAGAACCTCTCTCAACTCCTGGGGGTCAAACAGGGATGCCAGGAGACCTTAACCGCCTTCCTGACTCATTGGAGGTATGAATCAGTAAAAGTTGACGGCTTGGATGACAAAGCAGTCATGGCCATTTTCACCAACGCTTTTGAATTCGGGTGAATTCCACAAAGAGTTCGTACAACAACCCCGACCTCTCACGAGGAAGCCCTGCGATGAGCTGAAATGGGCGCATAATTGGAAGATGTGGAGAGAAGAAAGATAGAGTAAGAAGATGGTAAGCTTTAAGCCAATGATAGAAAGAAGAAGAATGAGAAGGAGGCCCACGACCACGACAAGGGAAGTGGGTTCAAAAGAAAAAAGAAGGGTTGGAGCAGAGGCAAATCAGGGGCACCTGACGGACCTTTATCCAGTCAGTCAGAATTTTCCCCATTGACACATCCGGTGAGTACAGTCCTGGATTATGATGCAAAGCTAAGCTTGGTGACGTTGCTTGACACATGTGACGTTATCAAAGACTAGGCTATTAGGGGGGAGTATTGCAAACCACACAAGAGCAACACTCATGAAACCGACGAGTGTTATGTGTTCAAAAAGTATGTGGAAAGGCTCATTCGAGATGGGAAGTTGGATCAATTTATGAAAAAGAATTGACAAGGACCACCCCCTCAAAAGAAGAGTGTCTGGATCAAGGCCAAAGACGAGAAGACCTCAACCTCCAAGAAGAGGGAGGTCAGAGCCCATGTCACGCCCCAGACTACGTTTGTGCCATGTAGACAACGGTCGTATAACCCAATAAGAATAACCGCAGTTAGTTCATCCTTACCTAATTGCACAAAATTTAAACCCAAAATTGGATAGTTAGCTTTCCAAAATAACAGGCACGGATGATTGGTTCTACCCTTTTCTGAGGAGCATATGATTCCTAAAAACTATTCCAATGGTTCTAGGTTTCAGATTATTCGGTGGAGAAAGCCTAAATCTACACAGCAGTTGAATATTGATGCAAGCTACTTATCTGGTGGGGCTTTAGGTGGAGCACTCATGCGCGATTCCAGAGGTGTATTGCTGGGAGCGATTGCTTACCCGCTACAGGCTTCGTCGCCGTTGGAAGCCGAATTACAGGCCATACTCTACGCTCTTCGATGGGCGGTGGCGGAAGGTTATGCTGAATTTCAGGTGGAGACGGACAACTTGCTAGCACTGGAGTATATTTCAGGTAAAGAAACGAGAAGATGGGCGGATTTAATTCAGGAAATCTCGCTTATGAAGATACATAAACGATTGGTCTTCGGACATTCATACAGAGAAGGGAATTGGGCCGCACACTACCTTGCAGCTCAACGAGCTCATCTGATGGATTTTTTCGGTATTCCTTCTTTTAGATTTTAATTTTCTGTGTGATGTTTTTAATTGGGTCAGGTCTAGTCCCCCCAATTTTAGTTTTTCACTTTGGTTTGCTTTTGAAGAGGTATGCCTTTTCTAAGAGGTTTTGGTTTGGTCCCCCTCTCAGTTTGTATCTCACTTTTAAATTAATAAAATCTGGCAAATGTTCTCCGACATTTGCCCCACTGATTTTGGTGGTTTTCCTTCCAGGGTAAAAAAACCTAATTGCACAAGACGTCCGATAGATACATATGCCAAAACCAATTAGTAAACATACATAACAACATCAACATACAATTAAACACATAGCGGAATATAAGTGTTTAATAAGAACCCACCAAGAGCAAAACAAAAGCTCCCAGGCTCCATTAATTTATAATTCAAAAATAGTTTCATGAGCATTTTTTTAATTATTTAGAAACAGAACCAGAAGAAGCAGGAACCACGTCTTCTCTCCATCGATCTCCCGAACAACGGGTGCAAGAAATAAGCTCTAACTTCAACCTGAAATGGTGCCCCCCCGAGGGGTCAGTACTATGGAATAGTACGGGCGAGAGCAGACTATATGTAACATAACTAACGTTTCTTACGTGAGATTCGGTGAGACCCTCAACATAGGGTGATAGTATATTTATGGGCATAACTCTTAGCTACCACTTTTTTCAAAACATATCGCATGCATATATACATATCGTGTATACTCATATTTTACATATGAGTAAAATATTTATGGGTCCATTTGTCTTTCAAATCATTTAGGCATAACAGTCCCATGTATTACCCTCGAGTGGATTCGCCTGCAGGCTAACTCACCCGATACCAAAAGAAAAATACCCAGGGGTGGCCCTTTGGGCTCCTAAATCACGGGCATGGTTTAAATCAATTTCTAGACCAAGGAAAATATTATATCGGGAACATGTTCCCGACCAAGCATGTTCAATCTTTTAACATCTATTACCCTGAGGTTCTCCTATCACGAGAATTACTCGTCCTCACTATCATAGTTTACATTCCCGAGGCTAACCCCGCCTTGAGGAGTACGCATACACTCTAATCTTATGTGTGATTTGCTGGAGGATACCACACCGAGCGAGCAGCAGGCTAAGTGTAGAATAAGTAGCGTTCAAGTATAAGACCCAAACATAGAGTGATACATACGTTTATAACCCCTCCCAAGTCTTTAAAATAAATACCAATATATACGTTTGGAAAATATCCGACCCGTGGGTCATTTGATCAAATCAATAAAATAATGGTGGACTTAGCACTTGACTTCCCCCATCACCGACCATTGTTTAGCCTTCCCGCTATAACCTAGAGTTCATTATATAACCGAGTGTTGATAGCCTTACTCAGCCACTGAGCCACTCTCCCGATAATATCAAGTTTTAGGCACCACTTGACCCTAGGTATTTCACCCCTAATATCCGAGTTTTGAGGACACACGCCCGATCTCTGGGTACTCCACCCTACATAACTGGGTTTTGAGGACACACACTCGGTCATTGGGTACTCCACCCGACACAACTTAGTTTTGTGGACACACGCCTAGTCCCTGGGTACTCCACCCTACATAGCTGAGTTTTGAGGACACACGCTCAGTCCCTGGGTACTCCACCCTACATAACTGAGTTTTGAGGACCCATGCTCGGTCTCTGGGTACTCCACCCCACATAACTGAGTTTTGAGGACACACGCCCGATCCCTGGGTACTCCACCCTACATAACTGAGTTTGGAGGACACACGCCCAGTCCCTTGGTACTCCACCTGACCTATGATCTACCACGCACATATCATACTATATAGAGTCTATATCATATCATCACTAACGACTAAACCAAGCCTTGGCGTTTAAACATCATATTCCAAGCCCTAACATTTTAAACAACATATTCCATGCAATTCCGTGCAAAATATACATATATAGGATGATCGGGGCCGGTTCTACCTTGAATCGGGCCCCAAAACGAACTTTATAAAAATCCGGCCCTGAAATCCGAGACCAAACCGACACCGGTTCACTGCTTGACCAACACCGGTCACTAATTGAATTAGTAAACCAGCCTCGCCGTATTCAAACTGGTGTCGGTTCATCCCCTGACCGGCGCCGGTCCGTTGTCTTGGACTTGGTCAACGGCCGGTTGACCGCCCGAAACAACTTTGATTGCTTAGAAACTTAAATACAACATGTATTAGGTCATAAACAATCAATATATGTCATTTTGGCCATTCAAAACATGTCTTATGTTATATATATATATATATATATATATATATATATATTATGACTCTGGTTTATTTCTCATAAACTAGATTTATTTTAGTAACATGCACGCTTAAGCATTCTAAATCCTTCACAAGAATATCACTTGAATTATTTTGGTCATTTCCCAAATGAACCAACAAAATAATTTATATTAATTAATCATACCTTATTTGCATGATTTTCCCTTAGCATGGCTAATCACATGATTTTCCCTTAGCATGGAATAACAATTGTAGATTCTGAAACATATGATTTGATTAATTCCCTTCCCTCATTGAGAATTCATTGAAGTTTGGATCATACTCTCTCCGTCCCTTATAACTTTGTCAACTTTCCTTTTTGGATGTCCCAATAACTTTGCAACTTTCCCTTTTCAGTAAAGAATTTGTGGTTTCGGTTAATTCTCTCTCCTCTTCACAAGCTTCAACCACATAGTTTTTACTTTATTAATCTCCGTGCCAGTCAAACTTGGCAAAGTATTGAGGGACGGAGGGAGTATATTGCTCTCATTTTCTCTGTTAATACTAATCTTTCGGTGAATGGCCACATTGCACGAGAATTGACCCAGGGCTTCAATGAATTCTTTTTTGTTGTCTGATCTAATCAGAAGTATTGTTTGTCAGAATTCCCTACAAAAACCACGACTTTATCCCCAAATAGTTTATCACAATTCGTAATCTCTCTCAAGGTCGTCTCGGCATTCTCCACAGTTATCCGACTTGCCATCATCTAGCCTCATCTCATACAATCAATTTGCAATAACATATTATGAGGATGATTACCATTACACAAATGTGTGATAGGTGTTAGGGACAACGGCGAATACAAAGGGGGCAATGGGGGCCGCCGCCTCACCCCAATTTCTTTTCAAGTAGGTATATTTACTCAAAAAATTAAATACTAACTCCGCATGTATTAGTATGTATTACTAATTAGAGAAATGATATTAATTAGAGAAATGATATTACTAATTAGGTATATACTATCCTTTCTGAAATTATGTCTCAGCTGTTATTTAGAGAAATGATATTAATTAAAGCAATTAATATTTTTTTGGAAGAATTAAAGCAATTAATATTAAACTACACATATGAAAAGGGCTGGATATTAGGGCATAGTTCAAATTTAAACTATTTTACAACCCATAACGTCTTAGAACTTGTCAAGTCAAATGGGAAACATTTTTACGGATTGGGGGGTAATAAAATATAAATAATACTCTTAACCAAACTAGATGAGATTAAAAAAAACTAAAATGTCTTAAGATCAAGTTAGATTAGTTCAAAACAAATTAGAATATTTTAGAGTCCGTTTGGTAATACTCAAATCAGTTGTATTGATGAATTCTGCTGAAATTTAAGAAGTTTTGACTGAAATGGCTGGATTGACTGATTATGCTTATTTATGAAAAAATTAATCCCCCGCATTTAAAAGTTCACTACATTTTCCTTTTTTGATCGTACTTAAAAGTTCCACACATTTCCATTTTTGGTAAGTTTACCTTTGTAAAATACTCAACTAACATTATTTTCTCTACTTTTCATCTTCTCTCTCATACTTTTTCTACATTATTATTATTATTATTATTATTATTATTATTATTTTGAGAGCAAGAGAATCATTGAGAGCAAGACCTTCCTCATCTCCCCTTGGTGGGAATTAAACTCAAGATCTCTCACAAATGAGAGACTTGAGGGTGGATGGTCATCCATTGGACTACACCCACCAACCCCTACTTTTTCTACATTATTCACTACATCTATTACTTTACTCCTTAAATAATGTGTCTAATGTAGTGCATTAAAATACAGAGGGAGTATTTAAAACATATTTTATACAGCTAGAAAAGTAACTTCGGTCTTACTTTTTCTTATCATTATACAATTCAAAGCAGGAAAAAAAAATTGCGTGTTTGGTTAAAAAGTTAGATAATAAGCCAAAAAATATGGTCACCACACATGCACTTAAGATGTTTTTACTTGGATTGTTTTAAGTCTTAGACCAGACCAGATCAGACCAGACCAGACCACACTTGAATAATTATAAAATACACAAAGACCAAACATTTACCAGACTAGACCAGTTCAAACCGGTTCAGACCAGACCAGAAAATTTCAATCCAAGTAAAAACATCCTTAATGTGATTGAAAATAAAACTTAGGTAAACCGGTAAAGTATGAACACACCACGAGCCCGTTTGGAGACTCTGGTTTTCGGCTTAGGCTTATCAGTCAACTTTTTCACCAAAAATGTAATCATTTATTCTGCGTGTTGAATAGTGTAATACTTCGTATAAGGAAAAGTAAGGCTGTAGTTATTTTTCTGGCCGTATTGACTGAAGTTATTATAGAGAGTCATTTTAGCTATTTTTTCATATAATTTTTTCTTTATTTTATTAATAATAAATATTTTTGATACAATTTTTTTAAATAATCAGAATGAATAATTAAGTCAAAATCAATCGAGCAAATTCAGTCAAAATTTTATAAATTACAGCAAAATCGGCCGATTCAATCAATTTAATTTGAACAAAAGTCTTCCCGTTGAATGATAAAATTACACAAGGGGACAAAAAAGGAGGGGGACAAATCACAAATGGAATAAAAAAATCAAGATTTAGGTAACCAAAATCATTACAGTTTACATTAGGGAAATTGTATCAAATACGGAGCATTGACCACATGCGTAATGTGGAATATATATGTAAATAAAATAAATAATACGGAATACATACATTACATACGGGAGTATCCATATATATATTTGCTGATTCAAGCCATTTTTGAGCCAGACTCAGAGCTCTGAGAAGCAGAGACGAAGGTTAGTCGTCGATCACTCTGCATTTCTGCCCCTTGTTTTTCTACTCAATGCATCGATGCGTTATCATTCACATACTAATATACGTTTCATATACGTACCTAATCACTTGCTTTTCAGCCATTAATACCACCAGTCAATGTTCTTCCATTTTTGAATTTCGTTTAGTTGTGTTAGATTATATGTATTGCTTTGTATTAATCTTTGTTTTCTTTCGATGATTGTACTTTTCCTTTGCCGAAGTGTGAAATACAACAATAAATGAATAAGTGATACGAATACGAATATGCATAAACGAGTAAGAAGTTTGTGCATTCCCGTTGCAGAAAACCCTAACAAAAAGAAAATTTAACTACTTCCCTCCCAATTTAATGGTCTCAATTTCTTAAAGTGGTCTCAATTCCACTTTTTGAAACAGGCCCGCATTTTAAAAGTACATTATTCAACTTTATCTAATAGAAGTATTCCATTCCCTATCTCTAACTAAAATCACTCTCATTTATCTCCCCACCGTAAAAAGTTTCGACTTTATGCAAATCACAACATTAAATGGGAACTGGGGGAGTATTTTCTTATCTACCGGAGTATTATTCAAGCAATGTGTTTTTTCCCTGTTTCTCAATACTCCTAAATCTCACCTTTGTGATTTGTACTTGTGTACTTCGCTTTTTCCTGTTTCTCAGTACTCTTAAATCCACTTTTGTGTGTACTCCGTATCTTATTGCCAGTAGGAGTAATAAAGGAAAAATCTTTTCAGTGTTGAAGCTTCGCAAGTTAGATTTTTTAAAGAAGTTCTGTTTGAAAAGGTAAATAAGCGGGGCTTTATTTACAAGTTACAACTCTCCATGGGCCTGAAGAAATCCCCAGATTATATTTAGCGGAATTTATTTCTAGATGATGCCAATTTGAAAACGTGGTCTTTATTCGTTATTCTTATTTTTGTAAAGAAAGTCTGTTTTAGTTTGGTATATGAAAGCTACAGTCTGCAATATTCTGTTGCTTCCACACGTAGTGCTTGAAAAAAAAAGGCTTGATCAATTGGTCCAGGTGTCCCATCCTTTTCCCTTTTCTTGTTATTATATATACATTCACAATCTCACACACATACACACACGAATGTGAATGGTATTTTTCATGTTGTATCAGTAAACAAAGTTAGATTGCTTGAGTTGGTAAATGATCATTTACTTTTAATTTTAAAGTTATTGTACTACTGGGTGTATGGGATGGGCAGAGGGCCAATTGATCTTTTAGCATCGTATTTTGAGATTTGGAAGATTAATTTATATCAGGAGAAACTTCCGTTGCTGAATTTTACAATCACTTTTGGTGTTATTGTTTTTGCAGACACGTCTGGATCCTTATCTCTCTAAGTGCTGCCTGCTATTGTGATCTAGTTGTAGAAAATACTTTATTGTAGACTGGAGCTGGAAAAGAAAAGGATAATATATGGAGGTAGACGCAGGAAGAGGTATGGGATGCCAGAAGATTATGGATGGGAAGGAGGAGAGTAACTGCATTGGTTTAGACATGGCTATTCTCCCTTCTTGTTGCTTGAAAGCTAGGGCCTGTGATGCAGAGCCTGAAGCCAAAGCCCATTCAACCGTTTGTTCTGGATGGTTCTCTGAACGTCACTCACCCACTGGTTATATCATATGCCTCTTATTTTTGTTTTCTTTTTTCGGAATTTATCGAGTTTGTTTGACTTTGTTTGAGTTCTTAGTTTTAACTTTTAATATTTGAAATTTAATATTAGCTCTTCTGTTGTATGTCCTGTCTTTTAGGTGAAGATGGAAAGGTATTGTATTATAACAATCCGATGTGGCCAGGTATTTTTCCTTTCATTCTTATTTCTCCTTTGTTTACACAGTTTATTGCACACCCGTTATCTTGAATTATAATCCTTAAATTTCAAATTTGTTTCATGAAAGATTGTGTGTATATTTTTCATGTTCAGTCAAAGCTATATTATCTTTTTTCTGTTTTTTTTTTGCATATTTTAATGTTAGGATATATATCACGTAGATTCATCTTAAATGAGAATGGCCATTTATTGTGGCTGGGATCTTACTGTTGTTTGGTTCGCTAAAGTTGAATTTCATATTATGAGCTGTGCTGAGAATACATATTTTCCTAAAACTCCTAATGTATCTGCAGTATAAGTGAATATAGTACTCCGTATATGCTATGCATGAATGATACTCATCATTAATAAGCTTTCTACATGGACTTTGGATGTCCATTGGATTCCCCATTCAATACAAAATCTGCCATGAGTTTTTGAAGTCTTTGCTAAAGTTGGTCTTTGTTTTCATGTGAGGAGGAATCATTGTGAAATTGTGTGCTAATTAATCCACAGTATATTACACTTGTAACATACAGTTTACCTTGTTCTAGACAAACTTGTAAGCTTTGTGCCCACCTGCTAATACTCTGGTGCATGGATTTTGTATGCTTTTTAGTTGTAGACTTGTAGTCTCAAAGCATTGTTTGTTCTTTCTTACACCCACGTCTATCTCAATCTCTCTTCATTAAGCATCTTAGAAATTCTAACCTCAATTTCTCATGCACTTTCTCTTGGACATTTTTTTCGATTCACCATCAACATTCCAACACTTGCTAGTTGGCTCAGCAAATTTCACTTCCAATTTATAGGCATTTCAGAATCAAATCAACCAGAAATTACTCTTATTCATCCCATAAACCTAAGTTAAATAACCTTCCATCTCCCAAATCTTTGCCAGCTTTTAACTTTTGCCTGCACCAACATTTTCAATTTCATTTAAAGGATATTCTATTTCTTTTAAATACATCAGAACCACACAGCTTTATTTTCTATTTTAGTGGCAATTAAACTTGAAAAAATTATGTGGGACTGAGGTAGTATATGCTTTTGTAAACTGCAAAGTGCAAACACTTTCTTTAGTGAAGGGGGGCCATGGCGCACTGGTTAAGGTGTTTCTTTGCAACCTGAGGTCACATGTTCAAGTCTTAAGAGCGGCCTCTTGTCAAAATGAAAAGTGAAGACTTTCCCGCCCTACACCCTTTCCGTGAAACCCTTCCCTGGACCCTCGCCATGTCGAGATGCCAATGTGAATAGGGCTGCTCCCTTTTTTAAACAATTTCTTTAATGTTTAAGAAGTTGTCTAATTGGTTGCGGGGTTACAACATTCAACTGTTTAAGGATAACTTCATTCTAAACTATCTATTAATCACTTCATCTCATTTTGCATTTCCTATTTAGTCATATTATTTTTTGTTCAAACCAACTATTGATTCCTTGCTTATCTTCTTTAATATTTTTTTAAATTCGGTTGTGTTTTAATAATATTTTTCTATAGCTTCTAAATATTTAAATTCTGCTTAAATGTATATGATAGTATTGCAAATGTAAAATCACAAATAGCTTCGTCCATAAAATAAGTTATTAGTTATGTGTTATATGTTTGCTTCTAGGGGAAGTACATTCTATCAAAGTTGAGAAGATTTTATTCAAGGAAAGATCAGAATACCAGGAGGTTCTTGTGTTTGAGGTTGCAATCTATTCTCTAAATTGTTTTCTGGCAACCTGTATACATCATTTTTTCGAGGGGTGGGAGCGGCGGGAGTTCTAGATGTCTAATATGCTGCTGTCTTGCAGTCTTCTTTATACGGGAAAGTCCTTGTGCTGGATGGCATTGTTCAGCTGACTGACAAAGATGAATGTGCATATCAAGAAATGATAGCTCATCTCCCCCTCTGTTCAATTAAATCCCCCAAAAATGTAAGGAACAATTATCTGGGTTCTTTTTTTGCTCTTATTATATGCTACTAAGCACCATGTATTTTATGCCTTGGTGTATCTGTTACTCATTCACTGTCTGAATTAGTCCACTGAATTTAATAATAGTTCACGACCGTAACATACTAGCATTTGGTTCTCTCTTAGATTGTCAATGAATGTTGTATATAGAAAAGAGTGGAAATGTTGAACTTCTGTGTGTATTGGATGTTCTAGCCTCTAGTTAGCTGCCTTGTTTTTTCCATCTGCAATCTACTTATCCAAATCTAATTACCTAAGTTGAATTTCTGAGAATAGTTTGGTTGTAAATACAGGTTCTTGTTGTTGGCGGTGGTGATGGGGGAGTACTTAGAGAAATTTCTCGTCATTGCTCTGTGGAGCATATTGACATTTGTGAGATAGATAAAATGGTTATAGATGTATGTCACAACTCACAATTATATTCTCCATGTGTCATGCCATATTATTTCACCAGCTGTTATTTTGATATATACTGCGATTCTTCTGTTTCAGGTTAGCAAAAAATTCTTTCCAGAGTTAGCTATTGGCTTTGAGGACCCCAGAGTCAAACTTCATGTTGGTGATGGTAAATTATATCTCTACAGAATTTTAATATGAACATTAGTCTTGGTATAGTTTTTAGCTGCAACTCACCAGTGGAGACATGTATTTGGTTTGAACTATTTCGGGGACACTCTTTATTTATCTGCCATAGTTGAAAGTTGAAACATACAACACATTAGTTAGTAAACTGCAGAGGCATTCATTTGAAGCCTAACCCACTAATCAACCCAAATGGTTGTTAGTTGTGTATCCCGCTGTTGGTTGTTAAAACTAACAAGGTGAATCAGATCATCAGAAAATTTATATGTATTACTTCAATTATACTCTTGCATATATTCTCAAATATAATTGTGAATTCTCTTGATTTTGACAGCTGTGGAATTTTTAAGGCAAACCCCTGAAGGCAAGTATGATGCAATTATAGTTGATTCATCAGACCCTGTTGGTATGTAATTCATACTTAGCTTTACTTTTTACTTTCATTTTTCAGAAAAAAGATTATCCCTATACAGGAGTAGATTATATTCTAAACAAGCTATATCATCAGACTATTTTTATTCTACATATTGAAACATAGGTCCTGCCCAAGAACTGGTAGAAAAACCATTCTTTGAGACATTAGCCCGAGCATTAAGACCAGGCGGTGTGCTTTGCAATATGGCTGAGAGTATGTGGCTTCACACACATTTGATTCAGGATATGCTTTCTATTTGCCTTCAAACATTCAAGGGTTCTGTTCACTATGCATGGACTAGTGTCCCTACATATCCAAGGTAAATAAATCATTTCTAAACCCTACCTCCATCATTTCAGAGTCAAGGGTTCACAGAATAGATCAGTTGTAAGTGTAATAATTTTTTTGTACATTGTCTGCAGTGGTGTTATTGGGTTTGTGTTATGCTCAACCGAAGGGCCGCCTGTTGACTTTTTGAATCCGATCAATCCCATTGAAAAGCTTGAGGGAGCGCTCCAATATCGTCGGGAACTAAGGTTTTACAACTCTGAGGTATGAAGCTTTTTCAAAGCTTGCAAATTGTATTACAAACAAAATCCTTTGGGTTTAACTTTAGTACACAAGTGCCCCTACAAAGTTACCAACCCTCACTGCCAGTGCTTAATGTTAACTGTGTTGATGATTGGTCATGCCTAGTTAACTGTGTGCAGTGAGGATTTAATAAGTACAGTAAGCTGACCGGAACTGAACCCTCGAAAATTGAACTAGTCAATACAAAAATTGATGAAAACCTAACATGTCAATACCAAACCGGCAAGAACCGGCCAAATCATAGGTGGTTTGGTACAGTTTTTGAGGTTTACCATAAAGAACTGGCTGAACTGACCAAAATTGACTAAAACCGGCCTACACATGCAAAACTGATTGAATCTAACATGAATCAACAGAAAATAACTAAACCTGACAAAACCGACTAAAGGTATTTGGTTCAGTTCTTGAATTACATTTCACAAAATCAATCCGACCCAAACCGGACTAACAATACTTGGATCTTGCAGGTTCACAAAGCTGCATTTGCATTGCCGTCTTTCATAAAGCGGGAGGTGAGCTGTCTGCGAGATGTCCGACCTACAAATGGTGTAAACTCAGTAGTTTGATTTTTGCCGACTATTTATTTCCATGAATATTTGGAACTTATTTGTGAAGACTTGCGAACTATCACACTTGAAAAATAAGCATTTCTAGCATACATGATATGCTGCAATTACGCTCCACATTAAGGATTTTATTTATTTGGATTATGTTGGAAGAAAACTATCGATAACTTTGTCATGAGCAATAGATTGGCAACAGACCCAAGACCGGGCCGGAACTGGCCTGTTTTTTTAACCAGAACTGATTCAGATGGTTAATATCTACGTTGTATTTGCTAACTAACAAACGTAAAAATGATTAGCTAGTAGCGTCCGGCGGGTCTCAAAAACACGAGTTATGCTAGAGGTACTAAAACTTTTACAAAAAGTCTTACAAAAGGGGTATGTGGCATCATCACATTATTTAACACATCACATTTACAACAATTTTACATCAATGGTAATTAGAATAGCCACATCACTTGTTTGTACGTTTTTTTGTAAGTGTGTTTGTATTTCTAGCATTTTTCCAAAAACACATGTGCAAGGTCCTTGCAGTATTGCAAAATCCCCTCGTCATAGTGCATATAATGGTGTGTATAAACACAAGAGAAATTACTCAAAATAGGACTAAAAACGTTCCTATATTCCAAAATAGAATAATCATGTTTTTATTCCCAAAATAGAATTAATTATTGTCATGTTTTGACAGTATCAGACTTTAAATATGACAGTATTTTCCAAACTTAGAACTCTTCCTTTTCACAATGTTTTGCATTAATTTTGATGAACATGCAATACTCAATCATGTAATGTTAACTTTATAGCGCTAACAAGGCTTATAAATAAGTTATGCTAAAAGTTTTAAAATGTGACATTTCCATGCGAAAAGTAGGATAACATGTATACAAAAAAATAGAATATCAAAGGGAAAACTGTCAAATAGATTCTCGAATTTTCATAAAAAAGTCAATTAAGTCCTTGTATAGGAGACTCTGTCCGGTCGTCGCGATTGGGGGCAGTTTCTGGTAGAATTTTTTGATGAAAATTTTTGAGCATTTTATTCATCAAGTCTAGTTTACTCATACCAAATTTCATCTAAAAATTTAAACGGGAGCGCATTCAAATTAATTCGAGAACGCAAAAATGCGCAGTTATGTTCAAGAATTAATTTGAATGTGTTTCCGATTGAATTTTTAGCTGAAATTTGGTATGAGTAAACTAGACTTGGTGAATAAGATCTCAAAAAATTTCATCAAAAAATTCCACCGGGAACTGCCCAAAATCGCGACGGCCGGACAAAACCTCCTATAGAAGGACTTAATTGACCTTTTTATGAAAGTTGGAGGATCTATTTGACAGTTTTCCCAATATCAAACTTGAGTCAATTTGGGTCAATTATATTAAAAAAGTTGCACAATCATGAATACCTTTATGCTAGTGATTTTACAAAAATATGTACTAGATCTCACAATAAAAAAACGGTAATTTTTAGAATAATTGTGTCTAATTCTTTAATGTGGTGTGATTTATCTCACACAAATATTTGAAAAATATGTATACAGAATGAACAAAGTCGTTGATAGTGCACTAAATATTTGACGAATCAGACTTGGGAGTACACAAATATTTGAAAAATATGTATACAGAATGAACAAAGTCGTTGATAGTACACACATATTTGTATACACATTCATGTCTGTGAGACTTGTTTTTATGTCTGTCCCAGACAAAATGTATTTGACAAATACGTTTTGTCTGGGACAGACATAAAAAAAAGCATTAACAGACGTGAATGTGTAAGAGTGTGTACCAATAGTGTGTACCAATAGATTTTCAATATTCAACATCTTACATAAAAGATAGACATACGCAAAGTATGATTTTTAAGTGCAACAATTTCTTCCGAGGCGCTTCCAAAATGTGTTACGATATTGCACAATTGCATAAATATTTTCAATGTAATAATAAGTGTATATCTACTTCAAAAGTAAAGATAGAACATGGATAAAATATTTGAATGATAAAAATACTACAAAGTATTTTATTTCTAGGAAAAGTCTTTTAATTGTTTATTCTTTCTATAATACTTTTGACTGGTTGAGGAAGGGTACATCTAGAAAATCAATACAAAGATTATTATAAAAAATACAAAAGATTTTTTTTTGAAAATACAAAGATTTTTTTTGAAAAATACAAAGATTATTTAATAAATCATTCATAATTTGAAGGTTTAAGTGGCGCAAATTATGCAACGGGATCGGTATATGTTGTGCCATGCATCGATCGTTTCTTTCATTTTCATTTGATACTAGTATAGTACCCGTGTACACGCACGGGAAATAACAATCTGTGCATATATTTTTACTCATTATCTAGTTAAATATTAAAATAAAAATAACTTTAAATTTTGGATTCTATATTTTTGAAAAATAAAAGTACAATAACATAATACCATAAAATATAAGTTCATACAATAAATATTCAATGATGAGTATATTAGGAAAAATTTATTAAACACCACTGATTAGAATTTGCTACTCATTAGTTAAATTAGTGCTAGCATATGAGAGGAAAATTATCCTACTCAATTCTTAACCGGCTTATATGATACAAAAAGGAACTACAAATGAGATAAAATTCTCTCACTCAATTGTTAGTTAGCCGAATTAACTTATATACCTAAAAGCACTACGTATGAGAGAGAAAATTTTATTGCTTAATTTGTTAATTGTTAACCGACTTATTTTATACTTAAAAGATCTACATATATGAGAATTCCTCACTCAATTGTTAGCAAATTTATCTTCTATAATATATAATAATACCTAAAAGCATTACATATGAGAGATAAAATTCTCCCGCTCAATAATTATTAGTAAGCTTATCTTATTATATCTAAAAACACTACATATGAGAGAGAAAATTCTTCCGTTCAATTGTTAGTCGGCTTATTATACCTAAAAGCACTACATATTGGCTAGAAAATTTTTCGACTCAATTGTTAGCTACACTATCTTATCTTATCTTATATACTTAAAAGAACAACATATGAGATTGAAAGTTATCCCGCTCAATTGTTAGCAAGTTTATCTTATAGTAATGCCTAAAAGCACTACATATGAGAGCGACCCCCTCGCCCCCCCTCCTCAATTCTCCCGCTCAATTGTTGCAAGATTACCTTCTAATCTTGTAATACCTAATAAAAAGCGCTACAGATGAGAGCAAAAATTCTTTTGCTCAATTATTAGCAAACGTATCTTCTTATATATCTAAAATCACCACATATGAGAGAGAAATTTTTCTCACTCAAATGTTAGCCGACTTACCTTATACAAAAAGCACTACATATGACAGAGAAACTACCTCACCTCACTTATTAGCCGACTTATCTTATACTTAAAAGAACGTATCTACATATGAAGAAAAAAAGTTTTTCCGCTCAATTGTTACCACATCTATCTTCTAATATCTAAAAGCACTACATATGAGAGAGAAAGTTGTCCCACTCAATTGTTAGACGGCTTATCTTGTACCTAATAGCATTATACTACGTATATGATAGAGGGAATCCTCTCGCTCAATTGTTAATCTAATAATCAGTTTGATTTGACTACTTATTCTAGTTGGTAATCTAATATAGTCCTTCTTTCATGATCCATTATACAGTAAGAGATGTACATTTTTTTCCAAAAATTCTTGAATTGCTAGATTAGGAATCATCTAAAACACTTTCGTAAATCTGTCTCGTTTGTAGGTACAGAATTGAAAGTCCACAATAACAACCAAATTCAAGTATATTTATAATTTTGAGTCACTTGCATGCATATTACAAAGATATTATTTAACTCGTTGATTTTTTAATGAAATGTGATTTTTAAAATATTATCATTCTTTTTACTTCTCTTTTTGGCAAACTCATTCTTTCTACTTTTAAAAGTCCTTTTTCAAAAAGTCCTTTACTTATTAGCCGCTGATCTATTGTTACTTTCATGTTCTAATTTTGATACTTGGAGCCAATTTTTTTACACTGGAATTGGCTAAATTGTCTGATTCTTTTGAAATTGATGATATTCTGATAGAAGTGGTTTAATTGGTTGAATATATTGATTTATAGAAATTTAATTTAAATTGTATTTTATTAATGAAGTAAGTAAAAAATTAAATCAAAAGTAGTTAAAAATGATTTGTACAATAACTTCGGTCGATTTAGTCAGAAAATAACTTCAATAAAGCTAAACTTAAATAGATCAGAGCAGTTTAAAACAAACTAAAAATGATAAATCTATATTTTCATATTTTCCCCTTTTTCTTAAAAAGAAAAAATAATAAAGTGAACTGAATTTAGAAATTTTATTTTTTAGCACTCAATGTTATTATCATTTTCTTTTGCTAATTTTTTATTCTCGAATGACATTATAATATGAAGTAATACGGTTTGTAATTTTTAACGAAGGGAGTAGAATAAAAAAAGAAAATAACATTAGATTTTTATTAATCATAGGGTCGATGAATTCAAATTACTTATTGTCTTCACTTTAGACCAACTCAAAAAGAACTAAATAGACCAACTCGAAGTTTTATTTTATTAGAATTATTTAGATTTTCATTTGGTAATTTTTTATATATCAAATCAGTGCACTTCAAATCATAAAATACTTTAAGAAAGATTTCTAAAAATAAATTTATTATTTTTAGATTTTACTTTTTCATGGCGTGATTTTGATTTTAGAGGTTGTTTAGTAGTAGTGAAATTGGTCAAATTTGTTCAAATGGATGAAGTTCTGAGAGAAGTGGTTGAATTAGTTGAATCTATTGATTTAAGGATAAATTTAATTTTAAATATATTTTATTAATGAAATAAAAAAAGAATTATATGAAAAGTAGTTTAAAATGATCATTTGTAGTAACTTCAGTCAATTCAGACAGAAAAATTACTTCAATCAAGTTAAACATAAATAGATCAAATCAGTTCATTACAAACAAAAAATGTTTAATCATTTTTATCACATTTGTCCCTTCTCTTAAAAAGAAAGAATATCATACTATTAAATTGAATTAAATTTAGAAGTTTTATTTATTAGCATTTTAGCACCACATGTTGTTATCATTTTCATTTGCTAATTTTAAATTTTCGATTGACATTATAATAAGGAAGGAATATGTTTACAACACTTTAATAATGTGAGTATAACATAGTTTTTTTTTATTAAAAGTAAGGCTGGAATTTCGTTGAGATAGATGATGTATATTAGTAGGCTA